ACGCCATTTAACAAGCCACAAATTAAAGTCCCTAATACGCATCCGCCTGTCGTTCTGAGTGTTATGCACAGGCAGAACTTCAGAGAATGACAGCGTGGAAGCAACCTGCCGTATATCATTGGCAAAAACACTAAAAACTTCCATTACCTCGGAAACCTCATTGCAAGCCAAGTCATTTGTCCTAAGATGGACAAGTACATCCAATTTCCCTTCCTGCTTTGCTCGCTTAACAATATTACAAATACGTCTCCTGTCTCTGACATCTCACAAGACCACCATTGTCCAGCTCCACACCTCTTATGATAGAATCCCCTTACAACAACTGCTGCTTTCTATTAGGCCTCACCATTGTCTCCAAGCCTGTGTCTCCAACACCACTACCCTCAGTGCCTGAGCCTGTCTCCACAACACCACTACCCTCAGTGCCTGAGCCTGTCTCCATAACACCACTACACTTGGTGCCCGAGCCTGTCTGCATAACACCAGTAAACTCTGAAAGTCCTGAAAATGAATTATGTAGAGCAACAGACAGTGCAATATGCCTTTTATCCACAACTCAGTCTACCAGATCCTACAGTAATCCATCTGCCATTCCTACTACGTCTCTGCGGCAGTAGCTTTGCAGCAGTTCCAGCCTGAGTTTGTTTACCAGATAATTTACAAATCTCAGACTTCAAAAATATAATCTCCTGCCGCAATGTAGAGAACTGTCTACAGATGAGACAGCATCCAAATCTCCAAAAAGTGGAATGTGAAACAAATGCTTAACAACTATTACACTGAACTAGGTCTGCCATTTTAATGAGGTGAATCACCAAAATGTTACTCTAAAAAATTATAACTGAGATACATGGATTAGCCTAATCCCTGAATAAACAAAAATAAATTAATAATCTGATGATTGAGTTTAGTGAGTATTAATCCTATTGTGGAGCTGCCTCACCAGACACCAATATTTTTGTATTGGATGTTTAGGATGCCTCTTTACTATTTTTGTAATGTTGGAGATTGTTAAAGAACAAGACAAAATGGAGAAGGGGAGAGGGAAAGGGAAAGAAGGGGGAGGAATCGAAGAAAAGGAGAAACGATAATTAGTGATATTTTGCTATTTTCCACGATTGAGATCTGTCTTTCTCTTTCTCTCCCTCTGGTATTTGGCTTGTTCAACCCCCCCCCCCCCACACACACACCCCCTTCTTTCCAATACACTTCTTGTCAAATTGTTTTTGCTAAATGTCTTTATGTAAGTGAAGTAAGTTCAAAGAATGTAATGATAACGGATTAACAAATTTTATGGTAATGTTATATGTAATTTTATGTAAGTGTATTTGTCTTTTTTCTTGTTCCTCTTTTAAAATCAATAGAGATTAAAGGACCACTATAGTGCCAGGAAAACATACTCGTTTTCCTGGCACTATAGTGCCCTGAGGGTGCCCCCACCCTCAGGGTCCCCCTCCCGCCCGGCTCTGGAAGGGGTTAAAACGTACCTTTTTCCAGCGCTGGGCGGGGAGCTCTCCTCCTCCGATCCTCCTCTTCTCCTCCCCGTCGGCTGAATGCGCACGCGCGGCAAGAGCTGCGCGCGCATTCAGCCGGTCACATAGGAAAGCATTCATAATGCTTTCCTATGGACGCTGGCGTGCTCTCACTGTGAAAATCACACACAAAAGCACGCAAGCGCCTCTAGCGGCTGTCAATGAGACAGCCACTAGAGGAAATAGGGGAAGGCTTAACCCATTCATAAACATAGCAGTTTCTCTGAAACTGCTATGTTTATGAAAAAATGGGTTAACCCTAGCTGGACCTGGCACCCAGACCACTTCATTAAGCTGAAGTGGTCTGGGTGCCTAGAGTGGTCCTTTAAAGAACCACTATAGTGCCAGGAAAACAAACTCGTTTTCCTGGCTCTATAGGGTCTTTGGGTCCCTCCCACCCTCTGGGTCCCCCTCCCGCCGGGCTGAAGGGGGAGGAAGGGGTTAAATTCTTAACTTTCTCCAGCACCGGGCTCCCTCGGCGCTGGGGAGTCTCCTCCCTCTACCGACGTCATCCGCTGAATGCGCAAGCGTGGCAAGAGCCGCACGCGCATTCAGTCAGTCCATAGGAAAGCATTTCTCAATGCTTTCCTATGGACACTGGCGTCTTCTCACTGTGAAAATCACAGTGAGAAGCGTGGAAGCGCCTCTAGCGGCTGTCAATGAGACAGCCAGTAAAGGCTGGATTAACCCTAACCCTAATGCTTACAGCTGCAGGGTTAACCCTAGATGGACCTGGCAGCCAGACCACTTTATTGAGCTAAAGTGGTCTGGGTGCCTATATAGTCCTTTAAATAAAAAAAATAAAAATATATATATATAATCCTTTGTGGCTTTAATAATTATTTTTATTTCATTATTTTAGCACTAGGAGAACTGTAAAGTTATGTCCTGCTCTGTAAATTTTACTTTAATTACATACATGAGGCTTCTGCAAGGTCTAGCAAGCTATTAACAGTGCAGGAGATTAGAAATTCAAATTTAAACAACGTTTGCAATAAAGGAAATGTAAACCTTAGATGACTCTTTACAGGAAGTGTTTAGGACATGCAAGTCACATGCAGGGAAGTGTGACTAGGGCTGTATAAACAACGTGATTTAACATCTAAATGGCACAGAATTGAGCAGAAAGACTGCAAGGGCATGATCTATACATCAAAACTGCTTTATAAAGCTAAAGTTGTTTTGGTGCCTATAGTGTCCCTTTAAGAAATACTTTCATAACCATGTTTTTACTTCGTTTATTGTTTTATTTTAATTGGCCTTAAATTTGTTTATCAAAATATAAGGTCATGGTTGTAAACATAACATGAGTGAATCTTTATACCTTCAGTACATTTCTAAATTACATTTTACACATGTAGAAACTTTTTGGGGTGACAGTTGTTTTAAAAAAATGTTAACATTGAGTGGTAAATACATATAAACATAATAGAGCGCTGGTTATTAGTATGCCTTTTTATAAATACAAAATAACTGTATAATGAGTTTTATTAATAGTTTTACAGTACTTTTATTAACAGTCTGTCTAAAACAGAAGTGTGATGGAAAGTTGAAAGATAAATGATCTTGCTAGTTATGACCCAATCCATATTGTTGATCCAAAATGTGGAGAACACCAGATTTCTAAGAGAAAAAAATTTTTTGACCCTTCATTTGAGTTGGTTTTCTCCTGGGAACAAACGGTTACCCCCACATATTAATTATTCTATTTTTTTTTTTTTTTTTTAATGAATTCAAACCTTGACAATCTAAATCTGTTGAAAGCAACCAATTCAAATTAAATTCAAGTAAGTTCAACTGCTAGAATATGCTGTATGGATAATCAAAATATGCTTTCTTTATACAGCAATAGAAAGATCGCACACCTCAACGTTTAAAAAACAGTAAATAAAGGCTGCTGCCATGTTCAGATGAGTTAAAAGCTTTCCACGCTGCAAAAAAAAATAAAATCCCTGAATAAATCCAAGCTTCACCCTTCTGGTTTCTACCTATTCATATGCAAATATCGGAACACAAAAAAAGTGTGGAACTAAGCTGTGTTAGATCTACTAACCTCCTCCTTGCCGCTCTATGCCAGGCTTCCCCCATTTGAGAGGCATTTCCCTCTTAAAATCACACATGCCTCTCTCTCAAAGTGTTCAGTGGTGCCTGCAGGTTCATGGGATAGATGCAGAACTAACAAAGCCTCCATCGCCATACAAACAAAATACAAGGAGCACGGAGTCTCACCCCCTTGCTAAGTTTGCACAGGCGGTGGAATCTGCCATGCAAGACAAATCCAAATAGAACCTTCTGCAGTTCAGGATGCACACTGTGCTGCTAATGCTGGAAAAATAAGAATGTTTGGTTTGTGAAGTTCAATGCTTTTTGCAGCTTTTGCGTAATTAAAGAGTGGAATTTAGCCATTATTTAAGATTTTTACAAGAAATCTTTAGGTGTTTGCTTGGATTTGGTGACTGTCTCCAGCCTATTAACAGTATACTGCATACATAGTCATAGCTCAGCACGTGCTCACAGGATTTGCAGGTTCTACATCCATATCGACGCAAACAATGAATCTGAGCTGTACCTTTCCATCTGCTTTCACTGTGCTAAACTGGTTAACATATTTAAATATTCAGTTTTGCTGCACCCTCCCCCCTCAACTCCGCCTACCTCCCCTCCCATGCCAATTCCCATTCATTCTGCAGCTCAGACATACAGTCTACACACTACTGCAGGCTCACGCTAAGGGGTTTTACAGTCAAGGCAGAGTGAATTATATTTTATTCCATGACACCACCTGTAAATCCATACAATTAAATCAGCGAGAGAAAAGACGAGGAAGAGTTTGCATTGGTGTGGACCCCACCTACCATTACCGCTTTAAGAAAAAGCTTTCTGGGATTTCAACCTGAGCAGGTTGATTTAAAGCAAGGATCAGAATCTTCTATGTACGAAGGATATAGGAGGAAGCTGGTGGACGTGCGCACGTGAAAATCTCTATGTGAACTCAGAATTCTGAGACCCACTGGAAACATATTACAGTTAAAAACCATGTATGTGTCCTGGAGGCAGACACTGTGCATGCTGACTAGGGGAGAGAGCTTGCCGTCTTGAAGGATTAAACCTGGACAGGACACAGGAGGAGGATATACAGAGCTGCAGAGTCGATTTTCTATAGACAGTTACATATGCTTTATCCAGACCTAGGAAGAATTCACCCACTGTGTTTAGTAGGACTAATGATTCTTCTTGGAGACCTGTAGAGGGAACGACTGGGCCTGGCATTAAGAGTGGTATGAGATCTGTGTTTCTGCTTATACAATGCACCGTCAAGATTTCATCTTTGATTGTCTTTTCGCGTTTTTTGAGTGCCCATAAAGAATTATCGAGTAGATCGTTAGTTCATATTTTAGGGGCTTCACCTCTGTTCCCGTACACTTTTTTTCATCATGTGCCGGGAAGCATATTCTGCTCACAAGAAACATGACCGTTGCCTCTGACCCATGCTCAGTCCCGCAGGAGTGGGCAAATCATAGACCTATGGCATGTGTGTGCCCTCAGGGCCTCCCCAGGGGCATAGCCTGGTTGACTACCCCTGGTTTATTTTTCCTGTTGCTGCTGTTGCCTCTGATACTGGGCCTTCCTAAATATTTTCCACATAGCAACTGTTCCGTTTCACTTGTACAGGAAGACCCCATCAGTGCACATTGCCCATCAAATCCAACTCTTCAGTTTTCCTGGACCTGCATTGATCCTTTGCCTCAAAACATTCCATCTATCCTGTCTATTTCCAGCCAGGTCAGTGCCCATGTCCCTTCATGTCCACATGAGCACCTACATATTATCACTACACTGCACCTCAGATCTGCACCCTATGGTGAGCCAAATAAATTGTGCCTAAACCCTGGATTGACATTGCTGCCTCTCCCCTCTGTGCAACCAGCACCATGGGGTAAATGCCAATTCCAATGTCAAACTGTGGGCAGCCCTGGGGCAACAGTATGGCACAACATTCTGGTAACCACTCGCCATCTCTGCCTGACTCATCAGCACCCATTAGAAATGAAATTGCAGTGCCAACCATGTACTAAGCAAGGAGAACATATAGTTCACTGGAAGGTAATGCTGCCACAATTGGTTAAGCAGAAAGTCAAAGGTTTAGCGATGCTCAGGGGCAAACGAAATGTAAACACAAGTCCTCAATTCCAGACACCAAGCTACCAAGTATCAGTGCCTGAAAATAAGCCTGCTGGGACTTTTGTTGTGCAGCTGAGGGCTAGTGATCCAGATGAAGGAGCTGCTGGGCGATTAGAGTACTCCATGGATGCCCTTTTTGATAGTCGCTCTGCCAGCTTTTTCTCACTGGATCCAAATAGTGGAGAAGTGACCACAGCAGATGAACTAGACAGAGAAACCAAGAGTACCCATGTTTTCAGAGTGACTGTCAGTGATGCAGGTGTCCCCCGCCGAACAGCGATGGCCACCCTCACTGTCTCAGTCAGTGACACAAATGATCATGACCCAACCTTTGAACAACCAGAATACAGAGAGAGTGTACGAGAGAACATGGAGGTTGGCTACGAGGTGATGACTGTTCGTGCCACAGATGGAGACTCTGTCATAAATGCCAACATTGCCTACCGTTTGGTATCTGGAGCTGGTGAGGCTTTTGAAATCGATCATCGATCTGGGGTCATTCGGACAAGAGGCCCTGTTGACCGTGAGTCTGTGGCGTTCTATGAATTACTTGTTGAAGCTGATGATCAAGGACGTGAACCTGGGCCTCGCAGTTCCACTGCCACTGTGCACATTTCTGTTGAAGACGAAAATGACAATGCCCCCCAATTTACTGAGAAGCGCTATGTGGCACATGTAGCAGAAGACATTTACACTGACTCACAGCTTCTAGTTGTGACTGCTACTGACCGTGACCAAGGAGCAAATGCTGCAGTACACTACAGTATCTTGAGTGGAAATGCTCGTGGTCTTTTCTCCATTGATCCACAGACTGGTGCGATATTTCTTGCTGGCACACTTGATTTTGAGACAGGGAGAGAGCACACACTAAGGG